TGCCTTCAGTTTAGGTCATAATCCTAGGGTCCTGGGATCAAGGGTCTTGTTGGACTCCTTGCTCCGTGGGGAGCCTGCTTCCCCCTCTCCCTCACTTGTGCTCTCTCACACTCTCTTTCTCTCTCAAATAAATAAATAAAATCTTAAAAAAAAAAAAAAAGGTTAGAAGTAGTGGAAGGATCACTTATTCCCTTAGTCCTATTTCCATGTAGAGGAATTCCATCCAAGTAAAGCTCCTGGCCTCTTTCCACCCGTGAGCAAGTTATATGGTGGACAAGTTGGCCAGAAGGAAATGCCATGAATTTGAGGTCCTCTGGCCTTCCAGGGCACTCAGTATCTGTGCTCCTAAGCTTACAGGGTTGGCCGAAGGTTGTCCAGTACTGTGCATGGCAAGGGGTGAGGCCATCTAATTGAGGAGTGAAGTAGAAGCAAGCCAGCTTGGGTATGCAACCCAAAGTCACTTCCTCCAACAACTCTAATCAAGCTGATACTTTCATCTCCACCTGCCTGACTCTGGTCTATTTCTTCATTGGCTCTGGGTCTTCGGATTGAGCCCCACGTTGGACTCCCTGCTCAGCAGGGAGTCTGCTTCTCCCTCTCCCTCTGCCCCTCCCCGCCCCCTGCTAGTACTCTCTCACGCGCTCTCTCTCAAATGAATAAATAAAATCTTCTAAAAATTTTTCTGTAGGCACATTTAAAAGAACAGGTGGAACTGATTTTAAAAATACATTTAATTTAATGCAATCTGTCCAAAATGTAATGCAATCTGTCCAAAATGTTATCATTTCAACATGTGACCAATTAAAATTATTAACCGTATTTTTTTTTAAGATTTTATTTATTTATTTGACAGAGAGAGAAAGATCACAAGTAGGCAGTGAGGCAGGCAGATCAAGAGAGAGGGAAGCAGGCTCCCTGCCAAGCAGAGAGCCCGATGCGGGGCTTGATCCCAGGACTCTGGGATCATACCTGAGCTGAAGGCAGAGGCTTCAACCCACTGAGCCACCCAGGCACCCCTGGATTTTTTTTTTTTTTAATAGGCTCCACAGCCAGCATGAAGCCCAATACGGGTCTTGAACTCACGACCCAGAAATCATGACCTGTGCTGAGATCAAGAGCTGGACACAACTGACTGAGCCCCTCTGACACCCCATTAATTGGATATTTAATGTATTTTGTACACTATGCCTTTGAAATCCAGTGTGTATTTTATACTCAGAGCACATCCTAACTTGGACTTGCCACATTTCAAGTGCTCAATAGCCACATGGCTAGCGGCCGCCATATTGAACAGGACTGGTCTACATGGTCTTGCCTATCAGGGAAAGGAAGCTAGTTTTCCACCGTAATTTTGTCTAGGTGAATTACAACTGTGAATTAAGGCTATCTCTCCCTTTCTCCTCCTCCCCGCAAACACACATCTTTTTCATTTTCTCAAGAGACCAAGAAAGGGTTCAAATCACTTTCTGATACCCTTTCTGCTAGAGAGCTATTTCTTGGAATATAACATGTGCGTCCACTAGAACACGTGGCCATTTGGTTCTCTTTCAGCTGAAAGTTAGATTTTAGACTCAGGGGACTGTGATTTACAGATGACCATATTTCACATTTCATCACGAATTCAAGGGCCACCTGGAGCTCATGGTTGAGGGTGGACCTCAGTGAGCTGGGGTGACACGGGAAGGCCCCTTGAGGCCACCCCCAACTAGTCTGGGTCTCTGAAACCTAGTCAGAGCCCCTCCCCCATCCCCAGGGGACTTGGGGTTTAGCTTACTGACGGAGACTCCTAATTTCCTTCTAGTGGGATGGGGGGCAGGGCATGAGCAGGACGGTTGATCTCCTTTTTGCTGCTGTCACCGACCTCAGAACGGGCAGGACAAATTCATCGGCCACTTTGGGAGGCCCAGCATCTTGGAAAAGCCTGGAGCTTGTGTCCATGGCGGCATCGAGGGGCACCTGACAGCTGTTGGCTCCGTTCTCATCTAACCGTGCGATCGTGTGCGTTTTCTTTGACAGAGAGATTACATCTCAGATCCCATCGGCTTCTCAGGACTCCTGGGCCCCCCACAAAGAACCGCGCTCAAGCTGTTAGAGAGAGGACAGGAGTCGGGTGGGGTCCCCCTGAGCAGCACGGATGGCCAGCCGTGGTAAGGACGGGCATTTCTGTCACGTCTGCCCACAGTGGGCACTGCACCTGCACGCCCGCACGGATCCCCGGGTTTCACTCCGGCCTCACCTCGGGGCTCACGCACCAGAACGCGGACACCGAAGCAGGCAACCGAGGGTCGCAGGCGGCTCTCCGATCTCCACTCTAACTCACTCTTTTCCGTTTCCTCCCAGACAGTCCAGGGAAGAAACGAAAGCCCCCGCGGAGGGACGCCCTGTTCTGGGCTCGGGATGATTATGGAGAGCGCGCCTTTAGCGCCATGAGGATGCTCGTGCACGATATTAAACGTGGAGAAAACTGTTTATTCACTTCCTGTGGACGCACAACGAACACATCTTTTAGAACCTCTAGAAGGCAGAAGGAGAGGCTTATTGGAGCCGGAGTCGGGAAGGACAGCGGCCTGGGAAAGCCTCTTCACAGGGAAGAGCGTGCTCCGGAGAATGAACCGTGTCTACAGGGGTTCCGCCTTACTTACATCTTGTAAAAGCTCTAACCATGACAGATTCGCATGCAGGCAGGAATCCTGGGTTTACCAGAAAGGAATGCGGGCACGAGGAGCCGTGAAGGGCATCTCAAGGACAAGATGGCTTTCCTGCCCGGGGCCCGTTCGCAAAGCAGGTGTACACGGCATGGCGCATGCGCGGAGGGCCCTAAATCAGGCTTCTGATGGGAACCGTCTCTACACGGTCATGTTTACTTGGAAATCTAAAGTGGCTTCCCACGTATCTCAGGCCTTCAGAGAGTTTTTCTGTCCTCTTTCTGCTCGTGAAGAACTTCTGAGAGGCAGCGAGAACAGCAAAAGCAGGAAGCGCAGTGGCTCAGACATGGCATGGCGACCGTCTAAGCCCGCGAGGGGAAGGGGTGGGAAACGGGACTGGCAGGCTCTGGCCTGAGATGGGGACAATGGCTCCCTTTCCCCTCCACTCTTTATTTTCTTTTCTTTTTTTTTTTTTTTTAAAGATTTTATTTATTTATTTGTCAGAGAGAGAGAGGGAGAGAGAGCAAGCACAGGCAGACAGAATGGCAGGCACAGGCAGAGGAAGAAGCAGGCTCCCTGATGAGCAAGGAGCCCGATGTGGGACTCGATCCCAGGACGCTGGGATCATGACCTGAGCCGAAGGCAGCTGCTTAACCAACTGAGCCACCCAGGCGTCCCTCCCCTCCACTCTTTAAATCTTTCCTGTTTCCCATGATATATTTCACTACTGTATTGGGGGGGTAGGTAGAGACTCCCCCTTTCCCTTTATAGGGTCCTTCTTTATCCAGGGACCCCAATTCAGGGACTTTATTTTAAAAAAAGAAGTCGTAATAATCATGCAACAAGCTTTTGGCACACAGATAGTCATTTTACCACTATGCATAAAAAATTTTTTTTAAGATTTTATTTATTTATTTGACAAACAGCGATCATAAGTAGGCAGAGAGGCAGGCAGAGAGAAAGGGGGAGGCAGCCTCCCCGGAGAGCAGAGAGCCCGACTCCGGTCTCCATCCCAGGACCCTAGGATCATGACCTGAACTGAAGGCAAAGGCTTTAACCCACTGAACCACCCAGGTGCCCCTGCATAAAAATTTTTTGAAATAATCTAAATGTTCCTGAAAGAGGAGGGCAATCAGTGCAGCCCGGGCTGCTCTTCATCTCTTGCCTCCTTTCTCCATTCGCGGACCCCATAGTGCCTACCGCTCAGGCCAGCCTCTGGCACAGTAAAGGCATGTGACCCAGTCCTGACCAATCAGAGTGGTCTCTGGACCTCTGCCTGGCTCCTCTTCTCTTGGGAGCACCCAACTGGAAGGACAGCACTGGGGGGCGGGGGTGGGGGGTAGGGAGTTGTTGGAGGGGCTCTTTTCTGAACCTGATGAGGCCTGTCATCAGGTTGCCATGGAAAGACAAAGACCTGATGACATCATTTTTATCCTCTATCCAGACACACCTGAAACTTGCTCTACCCCTAAGTTGTCTTAAGCACGAATCAATAACCTCCCTTTTTTGTGTAAGCCAGTTGTAGGTAGCCTTTGGCTACCTAAAATGGGAAGTGATGACTAACACGTGTCTAATTTAAACGATTGCATATATAATCAAGAGAATATTTTGTAACATTAAAAAAAAATCAGTAAAAACTGAGTGAAATAGAGAATGGTAGGAAAATATTGCCAAGTGGAAACAGCAACACAGAAAGTTCTAGATCTGTGAGCAAATGAGGGAATTGAGAATGAGAGAGAGAAAACTCTGGGTTGTAGGAAAAAATCTAGTATGAATCTTGAGGGAGGGTCCCCAGTGGGCAGTCTCAGGACAAGTATGGAAGGCTTGAACACTTGAACACCCCAAAGCAAGAGAAGCACAGGATGGAAATTCTATGCCAGACTGCCAACAACCATCACCCTTGGTTCATGCATTATTTCTAACCCTTATGTGGTGCCTGGGTGGCTCAATCAGTTAGGAGTCTGCCTTCGGTTCAGGTCATGATCCCAGAGTCCTAGGATCGAGCCCCACATCGAGGTCCCTGATCAGCGGGGAGTCTGCTTCTCTTTCTCCCACTCCCCCTGCTCCTGCTCTCTCTCACTCTCTCAAATAAATAAATAAAATCTTTTTTAAAAATTTCAAACATAACTCTTATGTTTTACTTGCCTGAATTTTATTTTATTATTTTTTAAAGATTTTATTTATTTATTTGATAGAGAGAGAGCACAAAGAGGGGGAGTGGCAGGCAGAGGGAGAAGGAGAAGCAGACTCCCCCTTGAGCAAGGAGCCAAATACGAAACTCGATCCCAGGACCCTGGGATCATGACCTTAACTGAAGGCAGACGCTTAATCAACTGAGCCACCCGGTGCCCCTGCCTGATTTTTAAAAACTTGAATTTAATGTCCATGCACTGCTTTCAAAATAGTAGCTAAAACATAAGAAAGAAGTAGGTTGAAGACAGGTGATTTGGGAAGCCTGGAGAGGTCTTTGCAGATTCCGAGGACATCCTAAGTTGCTCTGAACTTGGGGAGGAGAGGAGGGCTCCTGGGCCTCTCTCCTTCCGGATGGAATCTGGTCGAGCAGGATCCAGTGAGTGCAAACCCCGGTCTCACCCAGCGTTACCTCTGATGGGGAAGGGAGGAGCACAGCAGGCAGCCGGGGCCACGGAAAGGTGAGCTCGAGGTGTCCCTCACCTCAGGGACCCTCTTGTCCTGTCCTCTGCGTGGGATATAGAGCCCACACGAATCGCTACATGCTTCATGCAGACCTACTGTGTGCACGTGAGGGAGTGGGACACAGGAGAAGCAGCGGGAATGAGGCAGCGCCCGAGCGAAGGGATGGGGGACAGTGAAGAAGCAACGTGGCGAAGGACAGGCAGGACAGGCGGACCTCGCCACAATCACTCACTGACGGCGCCCTCAGGCCACAGTTTGACCTCCTGGTGGCTAAGTCTCCAGGCATCGCCTCTGCCAATCCAGCCTGTCCCTACCCTGTCCCCTTTAATTCTGCTCAGAGGTGCCTGGACTCAGCCCGCCCTAATCCTCTTCTGTCACCACACCTGCCTGGGGGCGGAGCCAGAGACCCCCAGCTCCTTCTGAAGATGAGATCCTGGGCCTTTTCTCTTGCAAGAGGTTCTGTAAAGAAACAAAAACACCAGTCACTGGAGGGCGCTCGGGGCAGCCTGGCGGGCGGCTCTGTGTGCTGCCTCTGCCGGCAGGCTTCCTGGCTTGGTATCCTGACTCCGCCACCCCCAGCTGCGAGTCACAGAAGCTCCCAGTCTCCGACAGCTGGTGCTGGCCTAGCGGAATTTCTCCTAGTCCTGGAGGCTCCAGCCAGTTGGGTTTCTGGTGGGCCCTCCCCCCGGCTCTGCAGGCGGTCACCTTCTCACCGTGTCTTCTCACGGACTTTCCCTCTGTGTGGGCATAGGCAGAGAGAGAGAGAGAGCCCTCCTGTATTCCCTCCTCCTCTTAGAAGGACACCAGTCTCATAGGATCACCCCTTCCTAGGACCTGAGTCAGTCCCAGTTGCAGTCCCAGTTGTAGCCCCTCTGGGGCTGACGGCTTCAACCTGTGAAGGTTCGGGCATACATTTCAGTCTGCGACACTCCCTGTGGCTCAGTGGCCTCTTCTGCACACCTGGGAGGACCCTGTTTCCAGCACATGGACCTCCAGGAGCATTGAGACAGAAATAGAAGCCATGACCAGGTCTGTCCAAGACAGGTGCCATTATCATCGAGAGGTCCCTGATGTCATTTGGACGCCCCCTTCCTGGGCCACCAGGTGTGCCACATCCTCAGGAACATCCAAGAAAACCACACACACACACACACACACACACACACACGCGCGCGCGCGCGCGCGTGCGCACCAGCTCCCTTAACAACCTCTCCTTAAATCTTGGTACCCATAAGCCCCGGTTAGTTCTCCCCGCCTCCCTCCAGCCCTACCCACGAGGGACGCGGCAGTGTCACCTGCTGCTGAAGGCTCTCGTAGAGCTGAGTGAGTTCTGTCAGCTGGTCTTCCAGCTCCCAAGCATGGGCCCTCAGCTCTTCCGCCATCTTGGTTCTTGCTCCTTCCTTCAGTTGCCTCCAGTCGCTCAGGAGGGTGACCATGTCCTGGCAGAGGGAGAAGCCAGTCACAGCACCACACAGCACGCGAGCACTTTTCTTTAACAGCACCTCTGTGCCCTTAAAGACCCTTTGCACCTGCCTGCTCCTTCGGGCCGAGAGTTGGCGGGTGGTCAGGAGACGCTTGGCGGCAGTGGCCAGGCGTGGGTGGGCTCTGGCCGCCTGAAAGGCACATATGTTCCTCTTGACATTCCTGATGTTACTTCCGCAATTGAAGGCCTTCTTTCCGACACTCATGGCATGGAAGACCTTTCCCTGAGCCTCCTTGACCTCGTGGTCACAGGTGAACTCTAGGCTGCTGGCCCGGGTTTGAGCTTCTTGATTCTGGAAGTGTTCCATAACGTCAGTGAAGATGCTGGTGAGGCCGGCTGCTGTCCCCAGAGCTTTACCAGCGGCAGAGAGCACAAGACTTCCTCCTATTGTTGCTGGCGCGAGGACCAGACCCAGGATGCTCATGGCGTCTGAGACCACAGTGATGGAGGTGGCCACCATGTTGGCCTTGGTGACTGTTCTGTGGGCTGTGTCTATGTCATCTGCAAGGGCATGGAGCTCTCTAATTTCCACTTCTAGCTCCTCTTTGAAGATGGGAAACTCCTTCAAAAATATTGTTTCTTCAGCCGACAGGTCCTTATCTTGTTGCTGCACACCTTCACACAGAAGAATGTCCTCCTGGTCCCTGTGGGTGAGCAAAATAAAGGTTTTGCTTGAGTCTCTCAGATGGGAAAGTCACATTCTCAGTCAGGCCCACTGCGGTTTCTGGATGTTCTTGCCAGTCTTGAATCCTTCCTGCGTCTCCCTGATACCTCTGTCACCTCTCACCTGACCATGGGGGAGTCCCAGAGCATTGTTGGGAGCCGTAGCTTCTATGAAGAGAAGAAACACATAAGAGCGGTTTCTGGAGGGACAAATGGGAGAAACAGAGCCTTGCCTAAGAGATGGAGAAAGTGGATTAGACCCGAGGGGCGCGTGCAGCTTTATTCAAAGAGACTGACACCCAGGAGGGGCAGTGAGGGAATGCTGAGAACGGAGACAAAATAAAGAAGCTGGGACTAATGGGGGGACTGGTGTAGGGAAAGCAGGAGAAAGAGGAGACCAGGTGGAGGTGAGTCAGAGGGAGGAGAGGCCACATTGTGCAACGTAGCCTACACCGCCATGACCTCGAGTTCGGCTTCCGCAGTGGCCTTTGCTTCCTTCTGGGGTTGAACACTGAGAGGGGTGAGGTAAATTATCACTAATATTCCGAAGGTTCTCCTCGGCACTTGGCCAGCTTTATTGGATGACAGATAGGATGGGTCCTTCATGGAAGATGTCAGGGACAAAGGGCCTCTCTTCCCCGGGGGTCTCACAGTACAAAGTATTAAGGGATCTTCGTCACCCCAGCAGAGTTTGGCCTTTATGGGATAGCAGTGTCGGGGAAGAACAAGCCTATTCCTCCGGGCACTTTCCTCATGCCGAGGACCATTGGTGCATCTCCAGGGCGAGAGCTTAGGAGGCCCGGTGATGGCACTCACCGGCCTAGAGGAGAGAATCAGAACTGGAAGGAACCCCAGGGTCCAAGCTACTGCCTTTACTTGTCATCAGAGGGAACAGAAGCCCAGAGAGGAAACGGGACTCGCCCAAAGAGACGTGCAAGGTGGAGATGGAGCTCGGAGCCCACCGCCCCCCTGGGTTGCCTCTCTCTCCTCTGTCAGCCGATGTCAGGAGTTCCCCACCGGAGGCTATATGCATATACCTTTCAATCTCTCTCTCTCTTCACACACACACATATGTAATTTCTCAATGGAAAAGGTGAAAAACCAAATATACTTCCAAGGAAACCCCTTAGCGATAGTAACGAACGTACTCAGGCCCCGTGATCAGTTAATCACCTGCTGTAAATCAGTTCACAGTGCAGAAGGCTGCTGGGGGCTCGCAGGGCAAAGGGGGAAGGGATGAAGGCCAGGAGAGGGGACACTGCTGAGGACCCCTACCCTTTGCGGATGCCACAGTCAGGCCATCCCTGCCCTTGTGTTTCCTCAGGGTGAGTGGGGACAAGGAGACAAAAGGACAAGGAGGTGCAGGAACAGACAGCCCCACTTTGTGTCCCTGCCAAGTTTTGTCTTAGTGTAGCTGAGAGAGAACAGGTGCTGGGCTTCTTGTGCTTTCGAATGAGCCCAAACGTCTCCGATGTGGACTTCCCGCCACCGCGCTTCCTCACAGGGCCCCAGGGCTGGCTGACAGGTGCAGCGTGGCCGTCCCCCTCCAGAAGCCACCGCCTCGCAGACGGCTTCCCCGGCTCACTCAGCGGACTCAGGTGGACTGTCCACATTGTACTCGAAGTTTGTGGTGGGGGGTGTCGGCTGCGGAGTGGCCCCCCAGGGCCAGGCTCCTTCCATGTGGTGACACCAACGGGCTCTTTCGGTAACGGCTGCACCCACGTGGGCCCCACCCCAGAAGCGGGGCAGTTTCTGCCTTTCCGGGCCTACTGCCCGATGTCGGGCACCTGACGGATCTGGCCTTCTCTCCAAAACACGCAGCTTGGCCGTGGAGTACTCGTTCCCCTGTGGATATCAGGAGGATGCCTGGAGCGTTTCAGCTGGAGCCGCCCTCCCCAGGGACAAAGCCCTCCCCATTACCTCGGGCATTCCGTCCCTGCCTCGTCGTCCAGAGGCTCCTGCCACCCCAAAGTTGAGCTCTTTTGGTCCATGGGAGGATTAGAGGCGTGCTCGGGGGTCACACGATGTTCTGCTTGCACACCTGGAAAACAAGGTTACCGCAGGTGCCAGGAAACCTTGTGAATTTCAAGATACGCCTCAGGATTTCAGGTTACGTAAAATCAAAATGGTAATGAAATACTGGCAACGTACTAAATATTTGCAAACTACTGCCCGCAGTTGCTTTAGTGCAGTACGCACAGAAAGTCAAGTCCTCAGCTCAAGAATCTGTCACGTAGCCACATACCCGAGGAATCACCGCCCTGATCAAGATGTAGGAAAGCAGCTTTCTTTGACCCACTCGCAGTCGTACTCACCCCACCCCGGGGGGTAACCAGTCTTCCATAACCATTATCAGTTCGCTTGTTCTTAAACTTTATATAAATGGAGTCATTTGTTTGTTTGGCCTCTGTCACTCAACTTAGTGTGTGTGAAATTCGCTCCTGTTGCGGGTATCACTGGTTTTAAAAATGATTGCTATGGAGCGTTTCATTCTATAAATACACTGCAGGGCGCCTGGGTGACCCAGCCGCTTAAGCATCGGACTCTTGATTTCAGCTCAGGTCATGATCTCAGGGTGGTGAGATCGAGCCCTACGTTGGGCTCCAAGCTCAGTGGGGAGTCTGCTTGCCCTTCTCCCTCGCTCCTCTCTCTTTCTCTCAAATAAACAAATACACTACAATTTGTTGATCTGTTCTTCCGTCGATTGACATGTTTGGGTTGTTTCTGGTCATTGACTATGATGAATGAATTGATTATATTGATTAAAATTCATTTCACAGAGCATGGCAACAACTTACAAGGTCCCTTTGTATAAATTACATTCCAACAGACATTTTATATTCTATTAATAGTGTGAGGACTGCAAAAAATCCTGCCAGCGCATACAGGTGGGGTCTGAAATCCATCTACTTGCCAAGTGTTGAGACCTGGGGGCCAGGGATGGCGGGGGTGCTACGTCTTATCTAGAGAAGGGAGCACTTCGATTGGGTGCGTGCTTGCTTGCACAGAGTTGCTATCCATTTTTAAAAAGATTTTATTTATTTATTTGAGTTGGAGAGGGAGAAGCAGACTTCCCAATGAGTAGACAGCCCAACGCAGGACTCGAACCCAGGGCCCTGGGATCATGACCTGAGCCAAAGGCAGACACTCAACCAACTAAGCCACCCAGGTGCCCCATTGTAAAGAATGTAACCTCAGAGTTATATCCACTCGCAGGCTGGGTGGACTTTTTCACTAAGCTCCAGGGCACTGAATGGGCTAGCAGTGGCCTTGATCTAACTTAGATGATTGGAAAAGAGACTCCAGATTTGCAAGACAGAAAGCAAGGAGACCAGTTAGAAGCTGTTGTGGTGGTTAGAGCAAGAGAGGACAGCCACTTGGATGAGACTAGCAGACCAATGAGAGAGACTGTGTTTGCAGGAAGCCCCGGGATTCCTCAGGGGACATGGGACGTGGGAGAGCAGAGGCCAGGATGACTTCAGGCTGAGTCAAATTTGGGGCATCAAGGACTGTTACAGGGAAGATTTTATTTCCTGAGATGGGAAGGGTCGAGGTTTTCGGGCAGGAAATAGACTTCAGTTTGGGGTGGGTTAAGTTGGACGTGCCCATTAGACATCCAAGCGGTGCTGGATAGAGGATCCCTGTTCTGGTTGGGAGATTCAATCTGGGAGCCATCTGTATAGAAAGTACTTAAAGCCATGAAATTGCATAAGAACCATAGGAAGAAAGTACTGGTAAAGGTCAAGTGTGGTCCATGACTGAGGTCCGGAGTACCCCGACAGGTAAGCCCAGGAAGAAGACAAGAAAGCAGCAAGAAGTGGAGAAGGAACAGTGGGTGACGTACAAGGAGAACAAAGAATTTGACATTTTGGAAGCCACATCTGGTGTATCTTTGTATTTTTAAATGTTCTGGGAGGCATTCTCCTTCCCATCTTCCTCTTACAAAGACATCCGTGGATTCTGCTTTACCTTCTAACGAAAATGGCTGGGATGGAGGAAAGCTTACCTTGGCAGATTTCAAGGATCTCTGCTACTGTGAAGCTCAGAAGGGCGTCTCTGCTCTTTTCCATATCAGAAGAACAGGGAGTCTGGCTGGGAAGAGATATTGTTTTAACCTTCCAGAGGAGGAAACCGACCTATCGTTAATATAGAGACAGTGTGGTAAAGGGGATTGGAAGTCCCCCTCTGCCACTTACCAATTCTGAAATTTCAAGAAAATTAACTCACTGCTGTTTATTTTTCCTTCTCTGTGAACTAGCTAGGAAAATGCTAACCCCAAATAAATAAATAAATGTTGAGGAAAATACCAACCCCAATAAATAAATGCAGGAGGTCCTACACTTTCTGCAATTATAAACAGGATAAATATCCTCTATCGAAAGGAAAAGACCCTGATATCCATTTAGAAAGCAAAACCAACCACATACATGGCTTATAGGAGATAGATCTGAAGTACAGTGACCCAGAAAAGTTAAAACTAGAATAGACAAAGTTCGAGCAGCCCAGGAAGGTAGCCGTGTCTATGAAGGGTAGGTTAAGGGCTCTATATGGTGGGACTGTTGGGTATCTTAATTCTCGCGTTAACCACACGAATCTATACATGGGAGGAAATTGCCTAGAACTAAATACACACACATGCTCACACACATGCACGCACGCACACACACACACACACACACACTCCAGTGGGAGTCAAGCTGGTGGACTCTGAATAAGTCCGTGGTTTGTATCAATGTCAATTTCCCAGTTGTGCTACCCTAGGACAATGTTGCAAAACCTTACACCAGGGAATCCGAGTAAAGGGCTTACATAGGTTCTCCCTGTATTATTTCTTACAACTGCATGTGAATCTACCATTATCTTGAAATGAAAACTTAAAAATACCATAGCATCCACCTATTGGAATGGCTAAAATCCAGAACATCACAACCCCAGATGCTGGTGAGGATAGATATGGAGAGACAGTTACCCTCACGGATTGCTGGCGGGAATACAAAGACACTTTGAAAGACGGTTCCGAATTTCTTAGGAAACTAAACATACCCTGACCATGCGGTCCAGCAATCACATTCCTTGATATTTACCCAAAGGACTTGAAAACTTGTGTCCACACAAAAATCTGCTCGCAGGTATTTATAGCAACTATATTCATAATTGCCAAAACTTGGAGAGCACCAAGATATCTTTGAGTAGTGAGTAAGCAAACAGTGGTCCAGCCAGATTAAGGAGTATTAACCAGCACTGTAAGAAAGGAGCTATCAAGCCATGGAAAAACCTGGGGGAACCTTAAATGCATATGACTAAGTGAAAGTAGCCAGCCTGAAAAACCGTTCTGTGTGATTCCAGCTATAGGGCATTCCGGAAAGGCATAATTCTGGGGACAATAAAAAGAGCTGTGGTTGCCGGGAGCTGGGGGGAGGGAGTGGTTAATAGAGCACGGAGGATTTTTCGGGCAGGAGACTACTCTTCCAGATTCTGTAATGGTGGATGAACCCACCTCATTATACATTCGCCCAAACCCATAAAGTATACAGCACCAAGAGAGAAACCCAGTGAAACTATGGACTCTGGGATATAATGGTGTGTTAGTGTAAGCTCACCAGCTCTGACATGTGTCCCGCTCTGGTCTAGGATGTTGATGGGGGGGAGCTGTGCATAGGGGGAGAAGAGGGAGCCAGGGGGTGTATGGGAAATTTGTCCTTTCCCCTCACTTTTGCTGTAGATCTAAAACTATTCTAAAATATGAAGTCTAGGGGTGTCTGGGTGGCTCAGTTGGTTAAGCGACTGCCTTCAACTCAGGTCATGATCCTGGAGTCGCGGAATCGAATCCCGAATAGGGCTCCCTGCTCAGCAGGGAGTCTGCTTCTCCCTCTGACCCTCCCCCTTCTCATGCTCTCTCTCTCTCTCTCTCATTCTTGCTCTCTCCCAAATAAATAAATAAAATCTTTAAAAAAATAAATAAAATATGAAGTCTATTTAAAAAAAAAAAGAAAGAAAGAAAGAAACAGCCAAACACGCAGATACAACAGGGAAGCATTCTCCCTTCTCCAAGTCTACCCCCTCCCCCCAATAAACCTACAGTCCCAGGAACCCTGCTGGTTGTCTTTGCACTTTGGAAACAAGTCACTCAGCCTCTTTCTTTCGCCAAGGATGACCCTCATGGGAAACACGGGTCACCAGCGAGGACTCCTACACTCTGGGGACTGACCCTCTGGTCTAGCTCCTGTTGTGGGGGGTCCCCAGCTGGAAGAGGGGAGGTGTATTCTGGTCTGTCCTATCACCTTCGTAATCTTGTTTCCGTTTAAACTTCAAACAGCCCAGGAGGAGCAAGTCCTACCCTGATTTAAGATCAAAAAAGTTGAGCTTCAGGCCTTTCCCGAGGCCGGAGCCCTGGCAAGACCGGGACATGAGCCCCCGTGGCCCTGGTCCCAGACCTTTGTCCCCAGCCAAGTGCCTACAGCCCCCCTCCTCCGCCGCCGGGCTGTCTCACTGAGGCTTCGGGGGCCCAGGGGGAGAAGGACCCCCATCCCGTGCCCTGTCCTCACCTCTCCGGGGCCTCTGGTCTGGTGGGGTGCTGCGGGGGGACTGATGTGCAACGCAGAGTCTCCAGCAGGTTCTGCTGGTTTTCCAGCAGGATTCCACCCCCCCTCGGGGGAAAGCCCGAGGCTCTACTTGGCCTCTTCTGAGTCAGCTGAGAACTTGGATCCGAGCTTCGTGGGCACAGAAATGGCACAAACTGAAACAACACTTCCCGCAAGAGCAGGGCTTACGGAGAAATGGTTTTCACTTTTGTTTTCCTTGTTTACCTCTTTCTCTTCTAGCCCTTGTAGTGAAGGAAAGCGGCGCAACCGTAGGCAGAGGCCCCAGCCCCCGCCGCTCTGTCCTCGCGGTGTGCCAGGCGCAAAGACAGTGTCCAGCAAGGCGAGGACTCGGTCCACGGCGAACTGTTTCTCAACGGCCCTTGGCCTCGATTCCGCAGCTGTGAAATGGGTATCAATACAGCTCTTGCGGCCCCGAGCTGTGGGGAGGAGCCCCTCAGTGCCCAGTGTGGACAGAGCGCCCCGCCAAGGCGTCACCGGTGGCCGCTGTGGGTGCTGTCACGTCATTCTCCTACCCTCCGAGCTGGGGGACAGGCGAGGGCTGATGTCTCGAACCTGTAACTGTGAATTGCCGAAGTCGCTGAAGACCGAGATGTGTCTTCGTAATTTGGGTGGTGGAGGGACCTGACCCTGACCCCCCCCCCGGGCGGGGGGTAAAGACATGGTTTTTGAGTTTCCTGCTTCATTTGCATATTCGTGGCTATCTGGAGAAATAGTAGCATGTGACCGATCAGGGCGGCGAGGGGGTTGAGAAGCATTTCCGAAACCTTCCCCTGAATCCAAACCATGGGCAACTCTGAAACACAATGGGCCCCAAAGGTTTGAGATACAGGACTGTGGTTGTGACTCTCCTGCATTACAGCTGGGGAAACTGAGACCCCGGGGCGTGGACGTCAGTGGCTCCCCTGTGGCCACACAGCTAGGAAACGGCAGACCCAGTTCTGGCCTCTGTATCTGTGGGAATGACCTGCCACGCCGTTGTGTGCCGAGATCTGTGTCTCCGTGTGTGTGTGTGGTGGGGGGGGAATCTGTGTCATTTGGTCATGTTGATAAGGCGAGAAGCCCTGGGTTGTCTCCCCAACCCTCCCCCACCCTCTTCCAGAGGCCACACTGGGGGCTGTTGGTGGCAGACCGGGTGGCCCAGGCAGCCAGCCCCGGCTCTGCGGGTGTCCTCTGGACCCTCCGGGCAGGGAGGAGGGATGAGGGGCAGGTGGGCTGCTGAGCTGGGACTTGGAGGAGTCTGAGGTGCCCCAGAATCCTGGCCTCCCGTACTCTGGACAGAGGCTGTCCTCCAGCCGGGGCGGCCGCCCTCCGGCCTCCCTGTGGCTCTCCCTGGCAACGGACCCAGATGCCGAGGCTTCCCCCAGGGACCAAGGGTCCTCCTCGGGGACCAGGCTGGCCACTGGACCAGGCTGGTGTTTACCACAGCAGGGCTGGTGATGCAAGACCCCCAAGAGGCGCGGGGAGAGCAGAATAATGTCACGTGCAGGACGTGCCGCTTCTGGGGTGACACAGAAAACACGTGGTTTGTCACCGAGCGGCTTCATTTTGTAAACCTCACCTCCCCTTCCTCGGGGGCCCCGACCCTGCTGACTACAAACTCACCCGAAGCTCCCTCTGTCTCTTGCGATTTCAAACACACCGTTTTGGGCAAAGTTGGCTACTCGGCGGGTGAATGTTTAGGCAAATTCGTTGCCGTGCCCACTGGGGACCTGGCTCCAGTCGCTGGTGCTGGAGAATTAGGGAGCTGACGGCCAGACACTTCTGGGCTGCCTGGAACTGTGGTTTGATTAAGTTTTTCTAACACAAGTCCTAGAGATTGATTCAAGCTAATGTAACTGAAGAATGTTCTGGATCACCCCCGAGGCAGCTCCAGCTTCAGAGGTGCAGCGGACCCAGCAGGCCTAGGAGAGGGGCAGGGAGCAGGCCGCCAGCAACCTACCCCCAGGAGGATGCCTCCGGAGGCTCGATCTGTCACAACTCAGCCACCTGCCCCTTCTCGTCCATTGTGATCCTTTGAGAGAATCTGGTTGGCCCAGCGGAGGTCACCGGGTGTGTTTTGGGGTGTGGTTTGGTCCTTTGGGGGTTGCTATAGCAAAATACTGCAGACTGGACGGCTTGTCAACAACAGACACTAGTTTCTCACTGTTATGGAGGTCAGAAGTCCGAGCTCGTGACACCAGCAAGGGCGGGTTCTGGTGAGGACCCACTGTGGGGTTACACACTGCTGACTTCTCCTGCACTCACCTGTGGAAGGGACCAGGGAGCTGTGTGTGGGGGGGGTCTCTTAGAAGGGTACCCATCCCGCTGCTGAAGTGTCTACCCTCGTGACCTGTTCACCTTCCAAAGGGCCCACCTCCAAATACTATCTCATGGGGTGTAGGATTCCAACTCGGGAATCTGGAGTCGGGGGTAGAGACAGTTGGGCTCTACAGGCTGGGAGGTACAGTTAGCATGTTTTTTGGTCAGTGTGCCCACCAGAACCCTATGGGGTAGAGCAGAGGCAGTTACCCAAAGGAAGGGGGCGCTGTTCCTAAAATCGGCCAAGAAAGAATGCTGGGCAGGCAAAAGCAACAGGTGTCCTCTGTATCCCATCCTTTGCACTGTGCTCCCTGCCCACCCCCCACACACCCTCCTTCCAGGTTTAGGACTAAAGAAGTCCTTCCTTATGAGATGGGACAACCCAGATAGAGCTCTGGATGTCACTGCTTCTCCCCAAGAGCTGTACCGGAAGTCACACCCAGGGGTTGTATCTGCTGGCAATGATCTACCCAACGGACCCAGGGTCTCTGGGAGTTGCAATCTTTTGGTGATAATCTTTTTATGAAACTGGCATTCACGATGTTGTTGCCAGCTTCAAAAATATTAGTAAAAATGATGGCAGTGATCATTACAGCTTGAATGTACCGAGCACTTGCCATGTGCCAGGTGCTGTTCCAAGGGCTTCACAAGAACTAGCTCAAGGTCATGGCGGGTGTTGGTGATTTTCCTTTTAATTACCCATTGTTTTATCCCCTTGTCTTCAGCCAGCTCCTCACCACGTTGGAGTACTTTCCGAAGGGCAGACCCTAAGCTTCATGTGTCCCGGAATCGGGGACAGGGGGGAGGTAGCCTTCCAGCAGCTTCCCCCTAGCCATGGTAGGGCAAGCGGGCACGGACCCTTCTCCCCACGACACCCTGGGCATGTTGGCAATGGTCCTGCTTCCTTTGATAAACACAGTCAACCACCTTTGTCAACAACAGTCCCTCCCAAACAGTCTAGAAGTCCCTCAAAAAGGTAAAAATGCCATCAGTGGGTGAGTAGACGCATAAATCATGGCATATACATAAGATGGAATTTCATTCACCACAAAAAGGAATAAAGTACCGACACATACTAAAATGTAAATGAACCCCCAAGGTCTTCTGCTGCTAAATGAAGGAAACCAGGCACCAAAGGCCACATGTTGCATGATTCCATTTCCATGAAATACCTAAAACAGCTAAGTTTATAGAGACACAAAGCAGGCTGGTGGTTGCCAGGGAGACCGGAGGGAGAGGGCTTGGGGAGTAACCACTTAATGGGCATGGGGTTTCTTTTGGGGGTGATGAAAACATTCGGGAACCAGGGAGAAGTGATGGTTGCACCCCATTACGAATGTACTAAACCCTGGAGCACCTGGGTGGCTCAGTCAGTTAAGCGTCTGTTTTCAGCTCAGGTTGTGATCCCAAGGTCCTGGGATTGAGTCCCACAGCAGGCTCCCTGCTTTGGGGGGAAGCCTGCTTCTCCCTCTCCCTCTGCCTGCTGCTTCTCCTACTGGTGCTCGTTCTCTCTCTCTCTCTTTCTCTGTCAAATAAATAAATAAATAAAATCTTTTCAAAACCTCCCCAAAACGAATGTACTGAACACTGAATTGTTTGCTTTAAAATACCTAATTCGGGGGCACCTGGGTGGCTCAGTCAGTTGAGTGTCTTACTTAGGATTTCGGCTCAGGTCACGATCTAATGAGTTGTAAGATCTAGCCCCACATTGGGGTCTGCTGTCAGCAGGTGTCTTCTTGGGATTCTCCCCCTCCCTCTTCCTCTGTCCCCCCCGACACACACTAAAATAAATAAATAAATTTTTAAAAACTTAGCTAATTCTATGTCCTATGTATTTCACTTCGATTTTAAAAAGTCAGAAAAATGGAATCGGTCCGAAAAGTTAGGATTTTGTTAAGTAAATCCATCTTCTTCAGGATCCAAAAAAAAAAAAGAGATAAACATAGAAATACCATATAATCCAGCAATTTCAATCCCAGGTATATACCCAAGAGAAATGAAAACATGTATCCCAAGCTTGAGCATGAATATTCACAGCAACATTATTCATAACAGCCAAAGAGTGCATACAGCCCAGTGCCCATCACCTTGTGAATGGCTAAACAACATATGGTCTCCATCCGTACAATGGAATATTCCTTGGCAATACCAAAGAATCAGGTCCTGGCATACACTACGACATGGATGGACCCTGAGGTCATGCTGAGTGACAGCAGCCAGGCACAGAGGACCACACAGAGTGTCATTCCGTTTATATGGTGTTTCCGGAGTAGGCAAGTGCCTAGAGACAGAAAGGAGAATGCTGGCTTCCAGGGGGCCCAGGGGAGGGAGGAATGGAGAGTGATTGCTCATGGCTGTAGGGTTTCTTTTGGAGGTGATTCTGGAGATGGGCACCTGGGTGGCTCAGTGGGTTGAGCCTCTGCCTTTGGCTCAGATCATGATCTAAGGGTCCTGGGATCGAGCCCCACATTGGGCTCTCTGCGCCACGGGAAGCCTGCTTCCCCCCCTCTCTCTGCCTGCCTCTCTGCCTACTTGTGATCTCTGTCTGTCAAATAAGTGAATAAAATCATTTTAAATAAGAAGATGTTCTGGAGACACATCTGGTGGTTGCCCAACTCTAGGAATGTATTAAAAACCACTAATGTGTCCTTTTGATGGGTGGAATGTA